TGGCCTGGTGCTGTCTTTCAGCAGACAGAGGTGAGGTGGCTGCCTGCCCCATGAGTTCTGGCTGGGTCCCAGGAGTCCTCAGTCCTCCTAATCCTGGATAATGGCATTGACCCAGACAGTGACAATGGCACCTCAGGGGACCTTGGCCAACCTGGCCCAGGGAAGAGCCCAGCCCAGGGCTTATCAGCTGCTGCAAATGAGATTTCCCCAGTCAACCCTCACGTCCCTGCTCCTGGGAAGTGGGAACATGGACCGCACCCCTTCCCCCACCTGTTCCCCAGCTCCCACCAACGTCCCCTCCACCAGTGTCCCCACGGGAGCCTCCTGCCCTGTACGGTATATTTGTCTCCACCATGGCCTGGGGTGTCAGGGGAGCCCTGGGAGATAGCTAGGTGGCACTCACCATGCCCTGCAGGTGGAGAAACAGGTTCAGAGCTGGCCAGCCCTGTGTCTCGCCTTCCCTGCTGACCATGGCTCCCCCATCTCCGGCCCACCCCCGTCAGCCGCAGACCTCACCCTGTGCCAGACAATATGCTATGCATCTGAGCAGTGTCCCGGGTTAACTGAGGGGGGGCAGTAAGCTCCCAGAAGGCATGCGAGGTTGGCAGATCGAGATCCGCCATTGCCACCCTGGGCCGGAGCCTGACCTGCCACCAGCGGCATGTGACCCTTCCCAGGTCCTGGCGTCCGCTTCCCCTCTGGGAAAGGCTAGGACTGGGTTGAGCAAGGGCCCCTTGTCCTTCCAGCTCTGAAGCTCTTGGATTCGGATTCCATGGAGGCGCCCCGAGCCTTGTGGCACCTGGAGGAGAAGGGCGTAGAAACCAGCTGGATCAACCAGTGGCTTCTGGGGGGGGGGGCGTTGCTGAGGCCCAGAGACGGGGTGGGGGTGGAATTTGTTGAGAGTGACTCACATTTTGTGGCTCCGGACTGAGACCCCACCTGAGCTGTGCCCCTCAGACCTGGCAGGGGCCAGGTCTTTCCTTCCTCCTTTCCTTTCCTTCCTCCTCACCATCCAAGGGTGTCCCCATGACAGGAGACATCGGTAGCCCCAGCTAGACTGGGGGCCCACCCCAAGATCCCTCTGCGGTACGCTGCACCCCCCAACTTTGCCACGTTCCTTTTCTGTGCTGGCAGTAGAGAGGGGGGCCTGCCCCTGCTCGGGCCAGAGGTCCCTTGTTCCTGCCACACCTGCGTGCCCCCGGGCGGGGGTGGTGCAGGCCCAGTGCGTGGGTGGGGGAGGGGAGGCTGGGCCAGGCTCCCCCAGGTTTAACACCCCTGGCGCAGGACAGCAAAGGCCTCTGCTTCCGGCTGCTTGCCTCTCCCTCCGAGCTGGTCACCCGCTGCATTTCGGCCCCAGCTGCGTGGGCAGCAGGCTCCGTGCCCTCCATCATCTCCCTGAGCTTCTCTGCGGATCGGTTCCTGTCTCAGATGCTCACTCTCCATTCATCTCCATCCTCGGTCTTTCCCGGCTTGGCTGTCTCCATATTTTGCTTTCCTGTCCTGCTCAGTGTTGGCCTCCTGTTTGCAGCTCCCTCACTCCTTCCTTTCCCTCTGCCATCTCCCTCCGCCTGCCCCAGGAGTGGGGGGTAGGGCCCTGCTCCTCCTGCTAGCATGTGTGCTGGGGGATCACCGTGACCATGTGGACCCCCAGCCCCAGGTGGGAGCCAGCAGCCCTCCCCCACACCTTGAGTGGGTGTGCAGCCGGGCGGGAGGCCAAGTGCTGCTCTCAGGCCTCGAGGGGTGGTGGGCAGGCAGCCCAGGGACCGGGACCAAGTGGCTGACGCACACACGGGAAGGGGTGATGGGGAGCCTCCTCCCCTTTGGTCTGAGTCATGGGAGGGGTGGGAGGGTGAGGGGGGCTGGGCCCTGGCCCAGGCCACATCCTGGAGACCAAGAGGAACAGGAGAGAGGGCAACGGGCAGGGTCACCTTGAGGGCTCAGCTGCACAGAGCTCAGAGTAGCTGGGTGGGGGCTTCTGTCTCCCCTAGACTGGGGAGGGAAGAGGTGGGATAGGACTAACCCCGGTCCCTAAGCTTGGGACCCTTCTCCTAGTCCCCTCCCTGCCACCCCCCCCCCCGCCCCGCCTCTTTACATCCCCTCAGCATGGCCTTGGATTTCCAGAGGCTCCAGCCAGGTCAGCTTTGCCCTGCACCCCCTGAGCCTGGCTGGGGGTGCTGGCTTGAACAGCTCAGATCTGAAGATGGTGGGTGGGGAACGGCGGTGGGGGGGCGCTCTGTATGGCTAAAGTTGCACATGTGCACACACACATCTACGTGTGGAACACATGTGCTGAAACATGTTGACGCATAAGCAGGTATTTGCCCCTGTCCCCAAGATGCCCCTACACGCACCCCTTCCCACAATCCACACACAAGTGAGCTCACTTTCACCCAAGAGCACTCCCGTTGGGGGCTACGTGTGCACGTGTCCTGGGTGCTTGCTTGGGCGCGTGTGTGCACACACTGCCGCCTGCACATCCGTCTACTTGAATGCGTCTGCTTGCACACCCCTGTGCTGGCGTTCTGAGCCAGCACGCACCTGCACGTGTACCTGCATACAAATGTGGTCCCCAGACGTTCGCAGCCGGAGGGGTGGGGTGCAGACAGGGGGCTCTCTGACAGGGCGAGCTTGGCCACTCGGCCTCCTCCAGTACAACCTTGTGGCCTGTGGCAGGGGAGGAAACTGAGGCCCTAAGGAGCCAGCAGCCATGCCAGATGGGAGCGTCCCTGCCTGACTGCTTTGGGCCCCCCTCATCGTTCCCCCCACCCCTTCAATCCCTGTCCCACCCCTCAGCCCAGACCAGCCCTGCAGGGGACTGGGAGGTGTGAGTCTGCCTCACCTAGAGGTCCTGATCATCACAGCTTCTGTCGCTGTGTCCGCCTTTACTCCGAGAGGTCATCGAACGCCCTGTTCACCTGCCACCTCCTCAACAGAAACTGCTGCCTGGACTTCTTTGGGGCTGTTTCCCTCCCTGCTTCCCTTTCCTCTGTTCAGCCCTCTGGGGCTCAGGGCTGTAAATTGCTTTTGCTTTAACAGCAAAGGTTTAACACTTTTTTTTTTTTTTCTTCTCAACGCACTCTCTCCTGGAGTTTCCCAGGAGGAGCATGAGGTAGAGGTGGCTCTTGTGAACAGTCTCTGGCTTTCTTTGTCCAAGGGTGGATTTCTCTGGCCCAGTCTTCATACCCCTGGCCACTGCCCCGGGCGAGGGGAGGGCGCACTGGGCTCTTCCTGCAAATCGAGAGAGCCTTGCATGGGCGCTGGAGCTTGCTGCCTGGCTTGCTGGGTGATTGGGGCAAGTCTCCCCTGGTCCGGGGCTCAGTCCCCACCTGGAAGGTGAGGGTCTGCTGGCTGTGAGCCCTGTGCCACCAACACTGCTCTTCTCCATCTCGGGCATGGGCAGCGTGGCTCACCGTACTTCTTCCCCATCAGACGGCTGGGCAGGGACCTGGTCCCCACTTACCATATGACAGCACACGCAGAGACGCTTCGCTCCCTCTGGCTAATTGGGCTGCATGGAAGGGGCTCCAGGCCTCCTGACTCCTGGTGCCTGGGAGCCTTGATCCTGGCCCAGGCTGTGCTGTGTGACTAGGGGCAAGTCCCTGCCCCCCTCTGGACCTCTGACTCTCCAGCCACAGAGGGGATGCGGGGCTTCGGTGACACCCTTTGGGATGCCGTCAGCTTTTCCGCCTGCCTGAGGCCTGGACCACAGGATCGAGGCCCTCTAATGGAAAACACTTTGGTGAAGTGATATTGGGGGGTGTGTCTGGCTTCCCAGACTCGCCCTCTCTCCCGTGGCTCTGCTCCCGCTTGTAGAAGGAGTTCTTCCCATGCCCTCCCCCTGCGGGAGACCACCGGCTTGGGGGGCTCACAGCCTTGCTGCTTTGCTCCCCCTCCCCCATGGAAGCTGAGACAAGGGAATTATTTTTGGAACAAGAGCGGTTACACAACAAATGAATTATTTATCTTTGGGCATGGAGGGGAGGAGGCATTTTGCTGGGCTTCTTAATTCTTTTCCTGGATTGGAAGGTGCCTGCCTCGCTACATGGTCATGTGTATACGGGCCCATTTGTCCAACAGAAGACTGTCCGTGGGCACGCTGCGGTGTTCCGGCTCATGGGAGGGCATGCGGGTCTTTGTGCCGGCAGGTGGACGAGTGTGGACAGGAGTGCTGGGGAGTGTGTGTGTGTGTGTGTGTGTGTGTGTTGTGTGCACGCACGCGCACCCGACCTGTCACTGTCCAGTCTCCCATCTCTGCCCACCGTCCTCAGATTCCGTCCCCCTGTCCCTACTCCCTGTTTCTTCCGTCTCCTGCCTTCCCGACCTCGTGGCCCCTCCTCCCTCTCTCGCCACCCACCACCCTCCCTTCTTTTACGTAACAGGGACCCCAGCGTGCTGGTGGCACCAGGACCCCCAGTGGGAGTGGGTAGCGAGGGGACAGGGGCCCGAGCTGGAGCTTTAGTGGGGCTGCTCTGAGCTTTCACTGATCTGTCATCCCCTCTCGGTGCTGCCTTTCAGGAGCCAGGTGACAGATGGGTCTCTTCCTTCCTGCCCCATCTCTCGCGCTCCCTCCTCGGAGCTTCGCTCTGCAGCCTCCCGTGGGAATCGTGGGAATCGTCTGAAGTTCTGAGCCCAGAACCGGAGGAGGAGGAAGAGGAGGAGGAGGAGGAGGGAGAGGAAGTCGAGTCTCGGAGAGCCTGTGCACCTTCCCAGAAACAGGCAGTGGGGGTGTGTTCCGGTGTGTGTCCCGGTCCCGGTGGCCCACGCCTGCCGCTAGCGCCCCGGAGGACCCCCCCACCCCCACCCCCCGCAGTTGGCACCGGCTGTGTCTGCTTCTCCCGGGGCCCCTGTGCTGGGGGTCGCCCCCAAGATGGTGGCGGCCCCAGGAAGGACTGTGCCGCCAGCCCCAGCCTCCCGCTGCTAGGTCCCCCCACACCCCGGCCCCCCTGCCCCTCCGAAGCCCGGCCTTCCCTGGGCGGGGGGGGGGGGCCGCGGCTGGCGCCATGCTGCGCCTGGGGCTGTGCGCCGCCGCCCTGCTGTGTGTGTGCCGGCCCGGTGCCGTGCGCGCCGACTGCTGGCTCATTGAGGGCGACAAGGGGTACGTGTGGCTGGCCATCTGCAGCCAGAACCAGCCGCCCTATGAGACCATCCCGCAGCACATCAACAGCACCGTGCACGACCTGCGGCTCAACGAGAACAAGCTCAAGGCTGTGCTCTACTCCTCGCTCAACCGCTTCGGGAACCTCACCGACCTCAACCTCACCAAGAACGAGATCTCTTACATCGAGGACGGCGCCTTCCTGGGCCAGTCGAGCCTGCAGGTGCTGCAGCTGGGCTACAACAAGCTCAGCAACCTGACCGAGGGCATGCTGCGCGGCATGGGCCGCCTGCAGTTCCTCTTCGTGCAGCACAACCTCATCGAGGTGGTGACGCCCGCCGCCTTCTCCGAGTGCCCGAGCCTCATCAGCATCGACCTGTCCTCCAACCGCCTCAGCCGCCTGGATGGCGCCACCTTCGCCAGCCTGGCCAGCCTCATGGTGTGCGAGCTGGCCGGCAACCCCTTCAACTGTGAGTGCGACCTCTTCGGCTTCCTGGCCTGGCTGGTGGTCTTCAACAACGTCACCAAGAACTACGACCGCCTGCAGTGCGAGTCCCCGCGCGAGTTCGCCGGCTACCCGCTGCTGGTGCCCCGGCCCTACCACAGCCTCAATGCCATCACCGTGCTCCAGGCCAAGTGCCGCAACGGCTCGCTGCCCGCCCGGCCCGCCAGCCACCCCACGCCCTACTCCACCGACGCCCAGCGGGAGCCCGATGAGAACTCGGGCTTCAACCCCGACGAGATCCTCTCGGTGGAGCCGCCGGCCTCGTCCACCACGGATGCGTCGGCGGGGCCCGCCATCAAGCTGCACCACGTCACCTTCACCTCGGCCACCCTGGTGGTCATCATCCCGCACCCCTACAGCAAGATGTACGTCCTGGTCCAGTACAACAACAGCTACTTCTCCGACGTCATGACGCTCAAGAACAAGAAGGAGATCGTCACACTGGACAAGCTGCGGGCGCACACCGAGTACACCTTCTGTGTGACCTCGCTGCGCAACAGCCGCCGCTTCAACCACACCTGCCTGACCTTCACCACGCGGGACCCCGTCCCCGGCGACCTGGCGCCCAGCACCTCCACCACCACCCACTACATCATGACCATCCTGGGCTGCCTCTTCGGCATGGTCGTCGTGCTGGGCGCGGTCTACTACTGCTTGCGAAAGCGGCGCGTGCAGGAGGAGAAGCAGAAGTCGGTCAAGGTCAAGAAAACCATTCTGGAGATGCGCTATGGGGCGGACGTGGATGCCGGCTCTGTGGTCCACGCGGCCCAGAAGCTGGGCGAACCCCCCGTGCTGCCCGTGTCCTGCATGTCCTCCATCCCCTCCATGATCGGGGAGAAGCTGCCCACCTCCAAGGGGCTGGAGGCCGGGCTGGACACACCCAAGGTGGCCACCAAGGGCAACTATATCGAGGTGCGCACGGGCGCGGGCGGGGATGGCCTGGCCCGGCCGGAGGATGACCTCCCGGACCTGGAGAACGGCCAGGGCTCGGCCGCTGAGATCTCCACCATCGCCAAGGAGGTGGACAAGGTCAACCAGATCATTAACAATTGCATCGATGCCCTCAAGCTGGACTCGGCCTCCTTCCTTGGGGGGGGTGGCGGCGGCGGGGACCCCGAGTTGGCCTTCGAGTGCCAGTCCCTCCCCGCGGCCGCCGCCGCCTCCTCAGCCGCCGCCCCGGGGGCGCTGGAGCGCCCCAGCTTCCTCTCACCCCCCTACAAGGAGAGCTCCCACCACCCCCTCCAGCGCCAGCTGAGCGCCGACGCCGCCGTGGCCCGCAAGACCTGCAGCGTGTCGTCCAGCGGCTCCATCAAGAGCGCCAAGGTCTTCAGCCTGGACGTGCCCGACCACCCGGCTGCCGCGGGGCTGGCCAAGGGCGACTCCAAGTACATCGAGAAGGGCAGCCCCCTCAACAGCCCGCTGGACCGGCTGCCGCTGGTGCCGGCGGGCGGCGGCGGCGGCGTGCACCACCTGGAGGTGCAGCCCGCCTACCACTGCAGCGAGCACCGGCACAGCTTCCCCGCCCTGTACTACGAGGACGGCGCCGACAGCCTGAGCCAGCGCGCGTCCCTCCTCAAGCCGCTGACCCGCTCCAAGCGGGACTCCACCTACTCGCAGCTCTCGCCCAGACACTACTACTCAGGTTACTCGTCCAGCCCTGAGTACTCATCCGAGAGCACGCACAAGATCTGGGAGCGCTTCCGGCCCTACAAGAAGCACCACCGGGAGGAGGTGTACATGGCTGCCGGCCACGCCCTGCGCAAGAAGGTCCAGTTCGCCAAGGACGAGGACCTGCATGACATCCTCGATTACTGGAAGGGGGTCTCGGCCCAGCAGAAGCTGTGACCCTCTCCTTCCCGGTGAGGCCAGAGGGGGGAGGGCTGGGGCACCCCACCCCCGCCCCCCGCCCCGGGGAAGGGCCCGGCGGCCGGGCAGGGGGAGGGGGCGGCGCTGGGGGGCGGCGGCCGAGGAGCGGACGCACACGCACACCCGCACGCACGCACCCATGCACACACCTGACCACCACCTGACTGTGAACAGCCACCACCCGACAACAACGGACAGGAAAACAAAGACACATTCTCCTTAAAGTTTACACACTGATACCGAAACCAGTCGTCTTTACTGTGCTGCCCAGGGACTCTGCTGGGGTGTGCGGAGGGGGGGGGGGCTGGGGGGGGCGGGGGGCGGGGCGCAGGCCGGGAAGCCAGAAGGGGGTGTGGGGTCTGGGGCTCTGGGACTAGGCAGAGGCGTGTGGGGCAGAGAGAGGGTCCTCCCCCACCCCCCACTCTGGGGACAGGTCACTTGGAGATAAATCTGGAGATAAAGCACCAGGCAGACATTGGGCCTCATTTCCTTTCTTTTATGGCTGGGGAAACTGAGGCCCAGAGAAAGGAGGTGGTCACCCCAGGGCCACGTGGCAGGTTAGGCAGTTTCCCAACTTCCCAGGCCAGTGCTATCCCCCCCACCCTTCGCCCGCCACCCTCTTCCAGAGCTGTGGGTCTCCTGGGGCTGAGGGACTTGAGAAATCAGGCAGGTGCTTTTCCTTTCTAGAAAGCCCCATGGCCACGCCCCCGAGCGTGGAGCTGTGATTCGTCACGCTGGGGGTCCTTCGCCCCCCCCACCCCAACGCCAGCACCGAGGAGAGACGGGAGGTCTTGCTTGCAAGAACGGAGCAGAGGCACGGGGCCGTTCCACCAGCCCCCTTCAAGTGTCTTCCAAGTAGCCTGGGAGCTGCTTCTGGGGTCTGAGGAGAGAGCAAGTGGGCCTGCTCCCACCGCCTCTCAGGTGCAGGCCCCCTTGCCCCAGCCCCCTAGCCTCTCTGGGCCTCTAGGACCCCTACTCATCCCAGAGGGCAGCAGTGAACTGTGATGCCTGGGAGCAGTGGGGAGGCAGGGTATAAGGGGGGGTCTTCCTGCCTGGGCCCCCCACATCCTGGTCTCCCACCTGCCTGACCCCCATCATGGGATCTTGGGGCAGCATCTCGGCCTGCCCCGGGGGGAGGAGGGCTTTCCCAGGCTTACCCACCACCTCTTGGCTGCCCCTCCTTGCCCCACCCCCTGGCCAGAGGGGCTCCCATGTTTCCATGGAGATGGCCGCTTCCCCCCTTGCTGACCCCCACCCAACATCGAACAAAGCACAAACAGTGAGCATCACCCCCCTGCTGGGGAGGGGGGAAGCAGGCAGTTTCATAGGGTCCCTCCCTCTCCCTGGCCAGCTTCTGTCGCCATGGCAACCCAGGGCCTGGCAGTTGGGACTGTTAGGCTCCTGGGGTTTCTCTCTCAGTGTGGGCAGCAGAGGGTGGTAAGGGAGGGCAGGCCCAGGCGGCCGCAGCCTTTTTCAACAGCTAGGGGCTTTCAGGGTCGAGTCTGGGGGGGGGGCGCAAATCTGGGGTGCTGAGACTGTGGGGGCTTGAACACACTGTCAGGGTGCTGAGGGGCCCTTCACCTTTGATTAGGACGTGGGCCAGTGGGGGATGGGGACACCTATAGCCTTGCCCACCTGCCAACGTGCTCCTTGGCTCCCCACCCACCTCAGGATGGGGAGGAGCCCACTCAGCTCCCCCCCACACCCCTGCCGGAGACCCCCAGCCTCTGGCCTGTCACCCCCTTGGGTTTCTTGAGATCTGGGGAGTGTGGCTGTGGGGTGAGGGTGGGACTAAGACCTGTACTGTGGGGGGGGGGTTGCTGACCAGGAAGGCCAGTGCCATCTCCTGGGTTGGGGGGTGGTCTAGCGACCTTCCTTCCCGGGGTAGAGACTGGGGGAGGACTGCTGGGGGGTGCTAGGGCTCAACTGAGCACCTCTCTTACACCCACTTGGGGGACAGACCAAACCCAGGGCTCATTTGGGGGGTGACATTTGCCAAGAAAGGACTGTTCTTCTGGGGAGTAGAGAGGAGGGGGCCAGCATGGATATGCAGAGCAGACCTCCCTCAACTCCCGAAACCTGCCCCCCCACCCCCTCCTCACACCAGATTGGCAAAACTGAGAACAGCAAGCAGGCAAAGCCAGTGGTGTGAGAAAGCAGATTCCTGTTATATTTGCATGACGATTTTACTGTATTTTTCTGAGCAAACATCTGTCGTGTATGTGCCAGTTTGTCCAGACTCCCAGGCCCCCCTCCCCGCCGCCCCCCCTTGCCCACATTCCCTCTGTTGTGTTCAAGCAGCTCTTGAAACCTGGGGAGGGGCCAGCTCTGCAAAAGACCCAAAACAGGTGCCACTGAAACGCAGCCCCTGCCCCATACCCGTCTCCTTTCTCTCTGAATGTTGGACCCACGAGTGCCACCTCGCCCCGTGGGCCCCCGGTTTCGTGCCCTCGCCCTTTCCCCTCCTCCCTGCCAGGGAAGGGTAGCACCAGGGAAGGGAGTGTGGGGGGACCTCTTTGTCCCACTTGCTGTCATTTTTCAGATGAAGACGTGGGGAACCCCCGAAGAAGGAAGGGGGCTGGGTGACTTGGCTACCAGGTTGGGGGGGGCAGTCACACTGCTGAGTCCGGGGGGCTAAGAGCTCGGGGGTTCATGGGTGGCTTTATGGGGAGACTGGGGGTCCTGAGGGAGGAACCCATGGAAGGAGCCAGGGCCGGGGTTGGCCTGGTCTTATGGGAGATGACGCTTCCCACAGGGAGGGTTCCCGGCAGCGGGAGCCCCCCACCCTTGCCATTCCCCCATCATTCCTGGTTGAAGATGACCTATAAAAACCTCAGACCATCTTACTTCGGGAGCTTTAAGGATAGGTCTCCCTCTTAACAGCGAGGGTCTTGCCACTCCAGGAGGTAAAACGACCTTCCCAACCTAGATCACACCAATCTTTGAGGCAGAATAGGATCTAACTTGGGCCTCTGGCCTCCTGGCCAGGCTGGATCTTCAGCTGCCCGGCCAGTCCCCTTGGATCTGCGAGAGGGGCCGGTGCACTGTAGCCCACCTTGGAGGTTTTCCTGCCTCTGTGTTGTGTGTCCTATTCAGGACCATTCTTCCCCGGCAGGGAGCAAAATACTCATGAAAGACGAATGAACATTTATGTCATGGAGTCCGGCCGGCTGAGGCCCCGTGTTTGTAATGGCCATGAGCACGGTGGGCCTGGGCCATGGCCTGGGCAGATGGGGAGAGCAGGCAGCCAGGAGATAAGGGAAGGGGGCTGAAGAGGGGAAGGGGGGGACAAGCCGGCTGGAGGAGATGTGGGTGCCATACCCCGGACCTCCCGGGGGAGGCCTCCTTGCCTTGGGTCGTACGTGGGCTTTGCTGTCCCTATCAGAGAATCTCCAGAGGAAATTCCTGGGTGCCTGTCACTGGAGAGTGGCATCAGGGGGGGCTACTCTCCTCACCTGGAGGGCTTGCCCTGCTAACCCTCTGTTGGAGCTAATGGCCTTCCAGAAGTGAAACGTGGAGGTCTGGAAGGGGGGAAAAAAAAACCCAAAACAAAACCTTAGTCTGGTGTGAATACCTCCTCAGGGGTCCCAGGGCCTGCCCCTGCCTGCTGGAGGCCCCTCGCCTCCACACCCTTCTTAGGCTGCCTGGATCCAGGCTGGGCGGGGCGGCGCGGGGCGGGGCGGGGGGGGGGGGGGGAGTAGCAGGTAGGGCTGTCTGCAGGGTGGTGGGAGTGGAGAGACCCACTTGGGAAGAAGAGTAGGCCTGCGTGGCCCCAGAGACCAGGGAAGCAGAGGAGAGTCTGGGCCTGGCCAAGGGTCTGTTTAAGGTTTTCGATTGAATGTCGCTCACTGTCCCCACTCTTGGAAAGTTAACAGAGGGGAAACAGAAGTTCAGGGAAAGGAAGGAAAGAGATCTTCTAGGGTCTCTAAACCAGTTAGGGACAGACTGACTCCAAGAAGGGGGCCAGGCATGGGGGACAAGAGTAACACGCCCCAGCTTGTAAGGGGCCTACATGCGGAGAAGGGGCAGCCACAAAGAGACAGAAGGACGCTGTGCAGAGAATTAAAACAGGGTGACGGAGGGGGGAGGGGCGAGCTCAGAGGACTAACCATGAGGGCCAGACTAGAGGGAGAGGATGACGGGTGGGTGGCTGGATGTCCTAAGGAACCTCCTCAGGTGGCCCCACTCTGCGGCCCCCACCCCCTCCGAGGCAGCCTCCCTTTCAGCAGCATCCTACCCCATTCCTGGCTGAGCGGGGCTCTTTCTGGGTGGAAGCACTGGGCGGGGGGCGGGGGGCGGCCCCCAGGGGCTTAGAGGGGCAGGGCTGACATGGGGCTTGCCTGATCCCAGTGCTTTCTCCTCCCCACTGAGACTTCTGCTCCGCAGCGCCCTCTGCCCTCCGGCCCGGGAGCTGCCATGCTCCTCGTCCATCCTGACCCTGGGTCCCCGTACCTTTAAGACAGAACCAGTATTTACACTTTTTGCCTCTCCTGCCTGCCTCAAAGTCCTCATTGAAGGTCCCTCAGTGCTGCTGAGCAGAGGGAGGGGAAGGGGGTGTCGAATGGGGTGGGCGGGAGGCTCTGGGCCTCCTCTTGCTTCCCTTGCCCCTCGCCAAATAAGCACAGGCTGGACAGGGGCAGGGGTCCATCCTCGCTGCCTCCTTTCCCCCCACCTTCCTCCCTTCCGCCCTTTCTTCCCCCCCTCCCTCCACAAGAGCCGCCAGCCCTGTGGGCCCTGCGGCTTGGCACCTGGTTTGGGTACTGCAGAGCTGGTCGCCCGGCCCCGGGCTATGAACCTGTGAACCCTAGCTGTGTGTGGACGTTTTCCTTCCTCGGGGGGCCCAAAACCTCTCCTTTTCTTCTTTTAGGGGGGTAACTTCATTTATTTTTCTCTTCCCTATATCTGCCTCTCCCTCCTCCCGATTTCCTGTTTTAAACTGAATGGCACGAAATTGTTTTCCTCAACTCGGAGATTCCTGT